TCTCCTTGCCTCTACCCTTGCCCCTGAAGTCTTTCTCAACACAGCAGCCAGAGTAGTCCTTTTAAAGCCTAAGTTTCATCGTATCACTCCTCCGCCCACAACCCTCTAGGGATGCCCCATCTCACTTAGAGTAAATCCAGGTCCTCCCACTGGATATGGGGCTGTTCACGACCCCCACCCTTGTCTCTCTGGCTCTTTCCTCGACTCTCCCTCTTGCTCACTCTTCTTCAGCAACACTGGCCTGCTTACAGCTCCAACCCATGGCCTTGCACCGACTGTACACTCTGCTGGAATGTTTTCCCCCTAGAAATCCACAAGGCTGACTGATTCACCTTCAGTTGTACTCAGGTATTCTCCATGAGTCCTGCTCTGGCCACCCTCTTTATTTTTTTATTTTATTATTATTATTATTTTTTTGGCCACCCTCTTTAGAATTGCAATCTGCCCCATTCCTCTGCTGAATTCCAAACTCCTATTATCCTTCGAATACATTTGTTTTTCTCTAACCCACATCACCTTCTAAAATTGTATACAATTTCCTTATTCACTGTGGTCCTTGTTTATTGCCTATCTCTCCCAATCAGGATGTAATCTCTGTGAGGACAGATAATTTTGACATTTGACAGATAATACTTCATTTAGTGATACATTCCAACTGCCTAGAAGTTTCCTGCACATAGCAACAAATATTTGTTGAATGAAGGAAATCTTTCCTTCACCATATGCAAAAATGTACCACAGAAACAGGCAAAGGATTCAAGTATTGAAAGGACACTCTTATAGAAATCAACATTTTGGATCAACTTCACTTTTTTCCCTCTCGACTCACAGTGTAGAATAGAAGAGTCAAATTCATCAAATTTTAGATTCATTAGGCTGAAAACTGCTCATGTAGAGACCAACGAGCCCAGCTGGCACTGTGTTCTGAACTGACACTGAGCTCTGCACTTGGTGGATGCTCTAAATTGTGAATTACATGAACAATGAGCCATTTTAGGGCTTGGCCTTTCCATCCACACGAATGTATGTGACAGACTGCTATTGTAGGTCACTGAAACAATTTAAACTATTTACCTTTTTTTATTTCTTAGTTAAAGAGGTAAATTCACTAATGTAAGTTATTTTTAAAAATGAGAGGTGGGATGAGGTATGGGGATGCTAGGGTAGAAAGAGTAGACCTGGGAGCTGGAAATTTTGGATATTGGTTCTTGCCTCAACATACCGTGCTTGTGTTTTACTTATTCAAGGTACTGCAGGATCTTGTAAATGCCGTTTCATTTGTCTGAGTATCTGTTTCCTTTTCTAAAAAGTGTGGAAAGTGACTGGAAAGCCTGGAGAGTTGTTTCTGGCTCTAAACATTCCTTCTTTCTGAGAAAAAGCAGCAGCAGTAACTTTTGTTCACTTCCCTTTCCTTCCTTCCTCCACCCTCCCCACTCCTTTCCTCACCGTCTAAAAGATGAGGCTGTGTAAACAGACCTGTTAGAGCAGGAGGAGCTGGACTGGGTTTGAATCCAGGATCTGCTTCCTACCAGCTGTGTGACTGGGGGTAAATTCTTTAGCTTTGCTGAGCATCATTTCCTCATCTGAAGAATGGGGTAAATGCTTCCAGCTCTACAGGATTGTACTGTATGGATTACAGGAGATCATTTTCACTGCACTGTACAGAATCCGGCACCAAGTAAGCGTCCAGTAAATGGTCGTGGTGCGAGGATGTGGGGGAAGGAGAGGGGGCATATTCAGCATTTGAGAAGTGGAATAGCTCAGAGGTGGGAGTGTCTATGTGAATAAAGTTTGAGGGGTTTGCAAACTGACCTGTAGGGCAGAGTTTCTCAAGCTCACTTATTTTATGACCCACATAGAAAATGACAAAAGGGTTCTATAACTACATCTTTGTAAAAAAAAAATTGCTGTTGCCTTTTCCCTTCTTACATAATAATTACAAAGAAGAATGCAGCCTCTCCACGGTGGGTGGCTATATTTGACAGAAGACTCTCATTTCTGCTCTAGGAACAAAATGCCCATCTGCGCTGCAGAGTAAACACCTGCTGCCTGAGACTCTGACCTGGGCTCAGGAATGCAAGGCTATGATTTTCTAAGGCAAAGTAAGCTATATAAAAAAACAGAAAAAAGAAAGAAAAGGAAAGGAAAGGAAAGGAAAGAAGGAAGGAAGGAAGGAAGAGAAAGGAAAGAAAGAAGGAAAGAAGGAAGAAAGGAAGGAAAGAAGGAAGGAAAGAAAGAAAGAAAGAGAAAAAGAAAAAGAAAAAGAAAAAAAAAAAAAGAAAAAGAAAAAGAAAAGAAAAAAAAGAAAGCCTCAGTGTTCTGCCTCCAAAGCAGAATTCATGAGCAAAACTGATGGCTTGAAGGCTGTATCATTCATGTTCCCTCTCTTTATATTGGCCATCATTAGCCTCCTTTGTTATAACTGAATCCTGCATGTGTTTAATTAGATGTAATTTTTGGAGATAGAGAAATGATTAAATCATCCAGACTCCAGAAAAACAAAAGATCCTGATTTCAGCCATCCATCAGGCCTTGACACCTAGAGTATTGCATGCTATAATTCAAATGAAAATATTCCACCTAAAAGGACAGTGGCCCTGTCCATGATATCATTAAAGGAAATCATTAAGCATTTATGCAGCACTCTGTGCCGGAAAAGTGCTTTACAGTTATTTTTAATGCTCACCATAACCCTCTGAGGAAGGTCCTTCCCTACATCTTAAACCAAAGCAAAGAGAAGAGATTAAATTACTGAGGGTCTGAGGGAGAAAAAGATGACTAGATCAGAATGAGACCTTTGAGTGCCAAAGTCAGCTGTTTTATTTAATCCACTGAATCGTTTGGTTAGAAGTTTATTCACTGTATAAAGCATTACCCTGATTTAGAGTTGATTGTTTCTTTTTCTTTAATACCTAGATCATTGATGGCACAGTCCTAATGCAAGAACTACTCCAATTACAATCACTTCCTTTCATCATGAGCATCTCTGAAGGGCACTAATGATATGTTCCTGAAGAAATCTAATTAAAAAGAAAAAAGTCAGTGTATTTTAGAAGATTGGCTTTATTACGCTCTGGTATTAAGTGAACACTGGCATCTCTGTGGCTCAGCCCTCATACTAACTTCTGTGTTCCAACTGGTGGGCACTCTCCATTGAGTAACTCGGGGATCCAGGTTCCCTCCATCTCAGTGAGAGGTTTCCAGGGTCATTGAAGCAGGAAGTGGGCAAGTGGGGGACTCATTTCTCTTCCAGTACTCTGAACCAAATTGGTGCACAGTCCAACAAGCCCTTCTGCTCGTAATCTTTTGAACAGAAGTAATATCCGGCCCCTGACTAACTGCAACAGAGTCTGGAAATGTCAGGGAGCACATGGAGCCTTGGAGGGTGCTAATGCCTCTTTTGCAGACTGATTCTGGTTTGATTTTAATTCCTTCCTTTGAACACTGAATTCAAAACTTTAGTGATAACATCTATTCAAATTTTTCCTGAAATAGGTGACGTGGCACTCCTTGTAATACTTCTTTTATGGCCTCATGTTTTCTCATACATTATCATTTTCCAAGTCCTTCTTATGTTTCATGTCATTCCATAGCTGCCAAGGAGACAGCTGTACTTCCTTTTCATTTTCTCGGGTTCAGCAGCTGTGGTACCTGGGAAGCAAGGGCTCCAAGCTTGAGGAAGCTTTGTTCCGCTCGCTTGGCCTCTGGACTGTAGTCAGAAGCTGTACTGATTTTGAGACTGGAACTAAATCTTGGCAAACTGTTACCTCGTCTTTTGTTCACTATTAACGACAAGAGTGACAGCTCAGCTTCATCCTGCCTGTGTATTTGCAAGCTGAGAACGATCAGAGGGAGGATGGGAAGGAGGTGGGTGGGATGGGATGGCTTGACTGAGTCTGGGAACCAGGGTAAAATTACACTGTTCCCAAACCATGGGAAGCCACGGGTTGGAAGCTGTTCCATACAACTCGATACAGCCTTACCCAGCACCTTGTTTCAGTGGTTTCAGTACTATGCAAAAAGTTCTGAGATGATGCTAAAATGAAAAGAGCACTAAAATGGAAATGAAGTGTGAAATGGAATGGAAAAACACAAGGAATTGAAAGTTCTGAATTGTGGAATGATTGGAAGGGGTGATGGCAAACTTAGCTTTCAACTTTTGCTCCTAATATATTTTCTTGAAATATTATTGCCAGGACAGCAGATAGAGCCCACGGATTGGTTTCTGAAGAAGGCCAAGAATGAATTTGTTTACAGACTGACTGGTCAGTGTTTTGACTTTAGCCTCTAGGTCCTCAACTAACACTGACAACTTTGACCTAATTTTGGGAGGCGATTATATTTGGCTGGGTTGCTGAGCTCTTTCTCAGAATCTCCTCTCCGGACAGTTGCCAAATGCTCTTTCTGTAACTGTGTTGTAAAGTCTGAGGAAAGTTGTCTTGGGTCACTGCCCAGGACCTAATGCCCCAATTGTAGACATAATGGTTGCAATCTTTATATCCCATTAGAGCTGAAACCAGGCATCACCACCTCCTCTCACAGCTCTCAATAACTAGAAAGTTTTCTGAACTCTCCCCATTGCCTGATGGGAGGTGAAGAATTTTATCTCTATTATGGTCCCAATTTCTTACTCCAGCACAGCCCTTCTCAATGCTTTTAAAACCAGAACACTTTATACCTCACAGAAGATTTCAAGCTTAATGTGCTGGAAAGGCTGGTATAGCTCCCTTACCTTTGTTGTGTCCTTTGACTTGAATAGTTTGGGTAGCTTTCTGTTTCTTGCAATCACACATTGCTTAACTAAGCCTCTAGAAATTAGAATCGACCTAGAATTGTCACTAAAACACCGTTAAGTTTCACCTCTCCAAAATGTGTCAGAACATTGATATTTCTTTGGGAATCACAATGATTATACCGAAATGCAGCCTTCCCTTTAGTTGAGTTTTAAAACACAGTGACATTTAATCAGAAAGGGGATATAGATTTAGCAAGGTGGGTGGAGGGCGACTCGGGAAACAGTAGGGTGAGGGAAAAAAGGAGGAAAGAACAAAACTGTCCACATGAGCCTTTGCTGCTGGGTTGTGAGCTATTCTTATCCTGTCAGCACAATTAATGAGGGAAAAATAGTCCCCAGAAGAAATGTGGCTGGAGGCACTGAACTGCCCTCCATCCCCCTCGCGCCAAGAGGGACAAAGTCTAGAGTAAGTTTCCCCAGCGGAGTTACTGGGAAAGCGACTGCTTGGCCCTGGGTGAAACTTTGAGATCAACTTCAGGGACAAGTTAATTTAGGGCCAAGTGTATGCATAGAACTGCAAACGCAAAGGAAGAATCTCTCTCCTCAAATCGTGTACAGCGTATCTGGGGAGCGAACAGCAACACACTAGATATGACAAAAGGACCTCACAAAGCAGTGGGTCAGCCCCAGCTGGCCCGTGAGGGTCACAGGTAAGACTCCTGGGAAGGGGAAACTTTCACTCTGCGGTAGCTGGGGAAGACTTCAGGAGAAAGATGATACTGGAGAAACCTTAAAGAAAACACAGCTACAGATGGATGGGGAGGAGGAAAGAACATGGATGGAGGAGCATGTGTTGGAACCTTGTGAACAGAGCAGCATGGTAGGAGGGAAGGCTTTGAAGTGGGTTGTGGCAATTAATGTTGAAAAATGTTTTGTGTTTTTGGTACCTTCCTCAAAAATGCCAATTACAGCTGAATCCACCTTCCATACAACTGTTAACTATTGGTTTAGTCTGCATAATCCAAGGTAATGTCGAACTTTATTTCAAAATACATTAGAGTTAGGCTTATCTGAGATTTCAGATACTGCTTAATTTTTTTTGTTGTTTTTTGGTGAGCTCAGAAAGGGATGTGAGAAATTATGCTAACAAGAAAATCCTTTTCTCTTATTTTTAAAAAGGAAACCTTAAATCAAGAGTTCATTTTTTGTTTATAATTTGCACACTCAAGTTCTGATTTTTTTCTTAGATACTAATAGCAAAGGGTAGGCACCTTGCAGTAATTAAAAAAAAAAACCCTATACTTTACACTTTACTTGTCCAAATTTGTTATCTCATGTGGACAGTCATTACTGTTCCAATTCTTTATCTTTCCTGCTAAGGGTTTTCCATAAGGTCACAGAGTTAACTAATGGACAGCCTAAATTCAAATCCAGGTATGCTGATTCCCAGCCTACACTCCTCCCCACCCTTGGGCCAGACCACTTGTTTCAACACCAGAAATATCTATTGTATCTGCAGAGGAAGGAAAACAGCAAACCTCCCTGTGGATGAGAGCACAGCAAACCAGGGCATCTCAGTCACTGCTGGTGGGAGCTAAACAGATAAGCATCTTTTGGAAAAAACTGGCAAAATGTATTAAGTATCTTAACACTGTTCCTACACTTTGACCCAGCAATTTCACTTCTAAGAATCTATCCTAAGGAATTAATACTTAGGAGATGTGGCCAAAGATTTACCTAGAAATATGTTTACTGGAATGCTACTTACAATATCCAACAGTAGATTAGTTAAGAACATTATGACACATTCTAATGATGGAATATTATTGAAGTCATTAAAAATCTCATTTTTGAAGATTACTGATAGTAAATAAATATTGAGATGATATTTATGATATAAAAATCAAATGAAAAAGCATCCAGTGTAGCTACCAGAAGAAAAAGAAGAATACACCAAGATGTTAACAACACTTAACTGTGGGTGATGAAATTACAAATAATATTTTTAAAATTTTATACACATTTCTCATGTTCCCTTATAGTTAATGTAATAATTTATAATTAGGAAAATATTATATTTAGAATTTTAAAGATGGTAAAGAAAAAATCCAGTTGCACAAACTCTAAAAATAATGATTAAGGGAATTAAAATCATCGTTTTACCTAGGCTGGTCTATAAATTGTATGTCTCATGCTTGGAAAAAAATAAATGTAGGGCTAAATCTATTACGTTCCCAAGGAGAGGATGACGGATTTATGATATAAGATGTGCAACAGAGCACGTGGCAAACATTTAAAGCTAGAAAAGTTTGGCTTTAAATCGTCGACTCACTTCCACGAGCTGAGCGCGGTTCGCTAAACGGCAGGAGCTGGGCGCCAGCAAGCCTCGCTACGAGAAGTTCTGGAAAGTTCCTGTCCCACGTCGCCGCGGGCTTCTTCCTTCACCGCCTTTGGCCCTGGCTTGTTCTGCGTGGTTAAGAGAAGCCGGCTCCTCCCTGCGCAACATACAGAGCCAGCAGAAGCCCAGAGGTGTTCTGGAACTTTCTAGGTGAGAGAGAACGCAGACAGGCCCGGTGGGAAAAGCAGCCTAAGGGCCCCGGGTTAACGTTCCACTTGTGGAGACTTTAGTCCTTGGAGGGCTTCCAGTCTGAACTTGGAGAATTCATCAACAGGAAAACACAGAGCTGGCGTGCTCTCTATTTACTTTGCCGTTCTCAAGGTTGCAACATAAATTTCCCAACTTCGCAAGCTGTTAAGGCCGAGAGAAGCTCAGGGCCTTTCCTCCAGTCAGTGGGACCCATGTGGAGCCCCGTTTTGGGAAAACGGGGTGGGGGGGAACTATCCCTCAGGGAGCCGAGGAAGCAGCGCTCACGGCACTGCCGGACGACCCCCCCTCCCCACGCGTACT